TCTTTCTGATGCTGAGTCTACAGAGGAGACGGATGTCGAGCTTACGACTCCAACTGACCTCCCTGTAAATTTAAATCAGGAGCGAGAGCTTCTCAACTCTCCAACTCCTGATCCAATAACTGAACCTAAAAAAAAGGTTTGGTGGTGCAGCCAGGAAACGACTGAGTCGTCTCCTCAAGAGCGAGGTACCTTATGAAACCGCCTTACACCAAATTCTTGAGAGGCGTACGAAAAATCTGTCTCAGGTGGAGGAACAAACCCCCCATGAGCAGGTCAACAAACGTTTGCGCTAAAGTGATGTTTCACCAAAACCAAAGGCGAAAAATCCCTGCACGGTTGAATCTAAGGCATCGCCAGGTGTAGCTGACGTGCAAAAACCCTCATATGGAAAGGTTATCGCGGGTACCAAGGTGGGAATCTTGCACCATGACTATCCGACTATTTCATTAACAATGAAACAGCAGAGCATATACTGGGCACCGAATCAGGTTTTTAGATTTCGCCAGAGCCGCACTGGCGAAATCTGGGTTTATTGGTCGAGTGTGAATAGGTGTGAGCCACAATAAACCCTTGCGGATTGCGGTGGAGGGTCGAATAAACCCACTCACTTTGAACCTAACCCAACCTAACATACTGATGGGTTTCAGGTTATGTTTCTATGTGAGTTCTTAATAATAAATACCACACTAGAGCAAACTCATTAGCTGCTCCTTCAGAGTTTCATGGTTCTTTGGACCAAGTCCAAAGTTATCTCTTCCCTGACCCGTTTCGTATATCTTGTCTCTGATTCTCAAGTACTCTCAATCTGCTGGTGAATATCTTCATTTCCTCCTGAACTTCTTTGAGTTCATCTTCAACCTTGAATAATTGACCATATGCTTATTGGAAGTCGCCTTCTACCTGTTCTTTCAAGGACTCAAGGATATCTTCCATCTCCAACATTCCATTAAGTTTCATTGTACCATACACTATTCAACCCATTATGATCTTTCTTCTTCAGTTTAAATACTCATCTTACCGCTGTCACGTTATGGTTCATCTATGTGTGCTTCCTCAAATAGGGGTATGATTCAATCAAATTCAATTTTATTCAATACTTCATAATGAACTTGAGTATGATCTGTTTGTATGTAATAGTCATGACGAAGTTTCCAGCACAGTCATCATCACCTCCTCAAGCTTCTTTTCCCTTTGAGATACTTGGAACATGTTGTGGGGACGATAAGTTGAAAGGTCCGCTAGTATTAGAGCATTCATAATGACCAGTGTCGTGACAATATACACATATTCAATAAGTACATTGAGAGTGCCGATACACTGAATATAATTGTAGTATTTTTGCACCGAATACAAGATACCAGGGATGTAGTGCCTGAAACAAAACTGACCTAATCTACCATTATTGCCGCTTAGGTCACGTTGTAAATAAGCTTTGCTTTTGTTTGGAATATTTCCAGAAACTATATGTCAACATTCGTAAATTTGTGATAAAAGACATGTTGAGCATGAAGGTTTTCATTTCATTCATTATCAATAATGAATATATCGACTAATTTTCATTTCCATTTGTATTTTCTTCTGCTACCCAACAGTTGATGACTAAATCTGTCGGAGTTTGTGCTGATACATTCCGTGGAGAGTTAGTCACTGGCATTGTTCCACTTCGTGGTAAGTATACATCTTTTCGGCATCCAGATGGTGCATCTACGAACTGCACATTCTACCCATAGTTCCCGTATCGTCCTCTTTTGAGATGGACCGTTGCACATTTGTCTATACCGAACTTTCATACCGATAGCATGTGTGTACCTTGCACCACCCTTACGGACTGATGTAGATCCTTTTCTTCAGAGGCATGAAGTTCAAGATCATGCATTTAACACAAATAGGTGATCTTATGTCCCCGGTTTCCGGGGATGCCTCAGTTATACGTATCATATGTTGGAAGCAGCTCACTATGTTGTGAGCTCATGCCATGTTGTATCAAACGCCTTGCGGTAATCGATCCAGTCAATAGAGAGGTTAGGTTAGCCTGCTTATACTGTATCAAGTCCTGCGTTACACGTTTATCGATGAGAAGGTTCTCTCTACTTCCAGCGACTCTTCGACCCTCTCTGGTTCTCTCGGTTCACTCGGTATTCGTGTGTATAAGATACTCGTAAATAACATGAATTCACAAATTATCCATTATATATAAATTTTTGATGTACCTATTCGATGTTTAGAAATTTCATCGATATACATCAAGGAATGAATTGTAAAATATTCAAGAAACCCCAAAACGTTACTGAAAATGTAAATATTGGAGTAATAACTCCTTATGAGAGGGTAAACTGCTTCGTTACCTAACGCGTAACGGCGTCAGTATGACTTTTCTTTTTCTCACGGAAAGCAGGCTCCCTCTCTCTCGTCGGACAGACAATCAGGGTTTAGTATGCGTTAGACATGTAATGTTGAAAGTATTATAAAAATCTAACCAGCAAACACGTCATATGCTTACTCCAAAAAAAATTGGGTCATTAACATCATATTGAACTGTTTACTAACATGCCTTGGTCATGCGAAGTTTCTTTCAGGTACAAACTGAATGAAATTCAAACCGAAACAACTACTTTGAAATATATGAACATTGTTTACATCGAAATCACTTTTTTCTGAATGAAAAAGTAAGGAGCCAAAACTAATCTCTCGGAAAAAATATTTCCTTTTCGAATTGAAAATGTTATGCTATTTTTATTGTAAAATATGTAATCATCAATCGCCAAACACGTTTGTCCGTCAAACTACTTCGAATCGTCCAAAGTTTTTTCTGCACATCAAAAAATCTTTTCCATGAATCAAAATGAAAGAGGGAATAGCGGAAGCTTCAGCCTGACTTTTAATTTGAATTCTGCAGATGACGCCACTACGAACATAAAGAAAGCGATGAGCTGGAAAAGCGAGTTTGAAGTAACCGAAAAGCAATCGGAAATTTGAACGAGTTTAGAGAGTTTTTCATTCGGGCAGTTTCACTCGGTAAGGAAAAAATTATTTATTTGCAATATACAGAGTCATCATATAGTTTGCAGATTGATAGATTTAACTTAATAGGTTTACTATTTGGATCTATGACCTTGTATTCAATCAGATCCTTCCTAATTGCTTCGTGAAATACCCATCAAAAATGATGAATTTTTGTTTTCTGGGAGGCATCTATGTGGGAGGCATAGTTATAGAACGCCGTTTTACTTTTTATTGTCACAAATATTCATTTCTCAATTTATTCACCTAACAATTTATTTGTTTGAATTTAATTGATTCATGCATTTGTTGGACACATTAAAACGATTGTTCGCAAAATTTGTTCTATTTCAAATGACACTTGATTTTAAATGTTACATGAATAAAAAAGACTGATGAAATAACTAAGCTTTTATTGATTCCGGAAAAAAATATTGTTTCAGAGTATTGGAAAATGGATTCAACAGTCAATGGAATGTATTATTCGAGTAAATTCAACAAACGTTCCAATTCCGCATATAATTTTGATCTTTGAATAAAATTCGGACGGAATATTGTGTTACTATCACTAGACTATCATGTTGCCAGATTTAAAAATTCAGCTTCTGAAAGAATCCGCTCGACGCTAGCGCCGAATTAAAATGATCATCAATCGTTTTAATTCATGTAACTATAATTATCAACAAACAATTTTATTCATGTTTCACAGAAATTATAGTAAATTATTCGATAGTTACAAAAAAGTATATATGACAATCATTTTCTTCCAAAAATTTAAAACAATCAATCTATATTATAACTGTTCGCAACTTTTCATCAAATAAATTAATTCATGTAACATTTTAAATCAAGTGTCATTTAAAATAGAACAAATTTTGCGAACAATCGTTTTTAATATGTCGAACAAATGCATGAATCAAATAAATTCCAACAAATGAATTTTTAGTTGAATAAATTGAGGAATGAATCTTTGTGACAATAAAAAGTAAAACGGCGTTCCATACATAATTGTTTCACATTAGTTGATAACAGGCTAACTTATCAAAATATCAACCTTAAATTTTCTCCACATTTTGCGTTTACTCATTATCAATTCATTTTAGATGTATTGTAACTTAATCTTCTCAGACAAGAGTGTAACTCAATTTTGAAAGAAAATGATAGTAAGTATGCATCAATGGAAAGTAAGAGAAAAGATAAACTATCATTTCCATACTGACGCAACTATAATAAATAATAATGAACAAAAACGATAAAATTTCAGCTGAGTAATAGAAGCTCATTTATTCAAGATAAATGAACTTACTTCATTAGTGGTAGAATATTTCAATTGGAAAAATATCAAGGTTTTCTAGTATATTTTCTATCCCTAGGGTAAATATCACTGAATAGCTATGTTCTACTGGTATCGTTATCAGAATAATCAACACCTAGTTATGATCTTGAAACCTAAAGAAAAAGAAAAAATCAGAAAACAATCAATTCAATCTCCAGCGCTTCAAATCCAACGCAAATCACTACGTTCGCACAGACACCGCTCTTAGGGCGCCTAAAGGATTTTCCTGTAGTGCTTGTGTTTTGTCTTTTATCTACAGCTATATTCGTACTCTTTTATTCTGAAGAAGCAAACTGATTATGCTCAGAACCTGATTCACAATTCAATTATGAATCCAGGATAACTATACAACTATTTGTTCACTATACACGATAATGAATATGCAATTCTCACATTAAATTTGATTCAAGATTTTCATAATGTAACGGGTTAACTATTATTTTTCTTGTAAACTACATTTTTGTCTTGTAAACATACAATTTTACTTTGACAAAATAACATGACAGCCTTGAAAATAAAGTGACTCCTGATGACATGGCGAATTTCATAAGCTGTTTAAATCTCGGGTATAACTAACAACTAAAAGTCCGAGAGTAAACCCTTCCAACTTTCCAATCTGGACAAGTTTTCACCTAAATCTATTACGATATGGAAATTTACTCACTATCTTGGAACTGACGCGTAGTCATCGGAGATCCTTTCAGCGTTATCCTGATTTAGGTGATGCAAAGAGGGCAGAGAAACAGCTGGAGATGGAGTGGGTAAACCTAAATAAACAAAAAATAGTGTCATGTAAAACGATGAGGGACATTACATGTGACTGAAATCAATTATAAAATACAATTCACTAGAATTAATACTTCAAATGAAATAGTAATTCATTGTACGAGTATAGTGTTATACTGTTTTGTTAATGACTTTCTGGTCGACGCAGTCTTTTGTATGAATGAAAAATAATAAAAAATGACAACAAATACTCCCTATGTTTTTATACCTATTCGTGATTATAACTAACGTTACTGCAGTTTCGTCCTACAAAGACATTTTCAAACGAACTAGTTTTTGTATTAGTTTGTATTTGTCATAGTATCATTCCTCGAACTATAGGCTGAAGCGGACAACAAACAACAGTTATCATCGCCCCATCTGCCTGTGAACGAGGTAACCAACCGCATATACGAAATTTGCCCAACTTCACATATAGTCAGTGGGCATACTTGAATTTGAAATCATCGACTTTATGTTGATGATAGACACTACCTTGCACTGACGAGTGGTCAAACAGCCCGATTCCGGTCTTCAAGTGTGTTCCAATGATTGAAAATCATTGCGGCAGTTGTATCGCCAATAGCATATGCAGGAATAACTTCAGTGAAGAATCCTGCACTGACACCTATCAAATACAACGCCCTTCGTGGTATTAGCCAGGGGAGTAGTTGTCAGTCTGATAGGTGTCAGTGAATTAACCTACAGTGTAGGGAATTCAGACTGGCGTGAACGATTTGTTCCTCTAGATGATTTCATTTATAGTCAGTCTTCAAGTATGGCTATGTGTGAAGAGAAAGTGGTATAAAGACAAACAGTTTTAATTTTTCTGTTTCATGATGTTCGAAAGGCTACATCCATCTAGTCATGTTTTTATTCGGACAAAAAGGACAAGTTGAAGTTGCTTCAATATTTTATTAATGAAGTAATACCAAATGTCTGAAATAATGAAAAATCAAAAACTTACTGCTTGTGCTGAGACGGTCATTAGCAGAAGTTAGTCGTTGTAAAGCTGGCCTTCTCAAGTTCGGAGATCTCTGAAAATAAAGGAAATAGGTTTTTTGAGTATGAACTAATTACAATTAGATAAAAATGAAAAGGAAAAATAGAAGGTTACAATGGGGAATTAAGATATAAAATTATAATATAATAATGAAGAAAAGAGAATTGAAACTGTATATGCTTTCAACCACTTTTATTTGTAACCAACTTTACTGCATTTTCGTCCTATAAGGACATTTTCAAACTTATACAAACTTATATACAGGGCTTTTCATGATGAGCGTAAATTAGCCGTTTCTGGCAAACTATACAACGGAACAACCTGAAAATTCCACAGTATGCATAAGTCAATATGACCTACACGCCTAAAATATTTTAGACGAAGCGGCGTTGTCGCTTCTACTATAAAGTAGCGGCTTCTTTGATTTTTCAAATGGAACA